CGGGCGATGCGGGGTGAGGCACCCCCGGGTCGTGGCAGACCCCTGCAGCAGGGGCCACCGTCCAGGGGCAGGAGCAGGGGAGCCGGCCTCTGTTCGTCACCTTAAGCGTGTTTGGCATCAGAGGTCGGTGACTGGAGCGCGGTCGGCGTGAGGGATGTGATGATAAATTACAGAAGAGGCGGCAGATGGAGAGCGGTGAGGGTGTATTAGCGTGGTCAGCAGCAACAGATTCCCGATGGATGTATGGCCAGCTCACTGGTCTTCATCCCGCTGTAATGCAACATTGGGGCTCGTGTGTATGCGTGTGTGTCCAGACGCAGGTTTCTTTTGCGGCGTTTTCAGGTACTTGTGGGACTTTTCTACCCATGTCTCTGGCTCAGGTAGTTTCTTGCCATGAGCAGCACCAGCACAGCTTGTCAGTTGTTTGTTCTAGCTCTTCCACACGGACACACACACGGCAAGTTACATCAGTCACGTGGCGGTTTCCTTTTGTAGAGAAGAAAAGCACAGCAATAACATGTGTTCTTTCATTTTTCATACTGAAATCCCATAGCTCGTTATTGTTTTCCAAGACGATCATACGCAGTATAGCCAAAACGAAGCTGTAAATTCACCGAGTGTAAAGATCATCTAGTCTTTATTCTGAAATTGGAGCTTCCCCAAAGCATGTAGCTTCTGAATAGCCCTTGCTAGTTGTATCTTGATGCTCTGATTATGGGAAAATGCAGTCTATTTATTTTTTCTTAATGTCATGCTTTTATGTGAGGGAAACACTGTGAACACAGGTTGCATGAGGCCTTTTAATTGTGTTTCTATGGTTAATAACCATTTGATTTGTAGGGGGTATCTGTGCATGTGAGCATGTGCCCATAGGTTCTGGGAACTCTTTCTTATGAAAAATCCTTCTAAGTGACCAGGACGTGCTAGGTATTTTCTCTGTATATGTTTGTATGTAAATATATACAGATACATGATTCTATGCATGTCTTTGAGGTGTTTAAGGTTAGAGCAGCAGTGCATTTCCAGTGCCTGCTGCACCCAGCTCACAGAGCAAGCTTGCAACTACGTTACTACCAGCTGTCAGCCTGAACTAACAAGTTTATTTTGTCTTTTCCGCAATGACCTTACAGTAAAGGGTCTTAGCCAAAGTACTGTTGTGCGAACACAGTCTCCCATTCCCTCCAAGATGGCTATAATCCAGATTTATTGTCCACAGAGAGATCACATTTGCATCATAAATACAAGTATTTTTTTGTAAGGTAAGCGATGAGAAACCTCGAGAGAAAGGAATGACTTTCCATCCCAGGGCACTTGGAGGAAGTTTCCATTTTACAGTATAGTTGTGTCTAATCATTCCTGAAGACCTTTCAGTAGAGCACTGGGTTAAATGAGTGACGGGCATGTGCCTGCCTTCTCAGTGCTGGCAGCTCTAAAGCATCCTGTTTTGAAGGTATTACTGATGTTTGTTTGTGTATCTTGCTGAGCAATCTGTAGTATTTCTTATGGCTGTGCTCAGCGTGGAGACATCCAGGCAATACCCCAGGTTTCTCTCTCGTGAATGTTGTGAAACAGTGAGCTTTTGCCTCGAATCTAGTGGTCAAAGTTGTGAGCCCAAGATAGTGTCAGATGATGTGTTTTTTTCCATTGGCTTCAGTAGGTGTTGTATAATTAACAAGGAGGCACTTCAAGTCTTTTCTGTCTTCTCTACTGAATCGATGTAGTATCAATGCAATTAGTAATCCTTGCTCAGTTAGAAACAGCAGTGGGTGACAAATATTTTGCAAAGTTACCTTACTTGAGTCAATATTTTCTATAATTTGTGCCCCCAACAGTGTTTTTATTTTATATGCAGTAACAAAAGTCTAAAAAATTACTACGCCCACTCTAAAGCTGGCCATTTTCGTTAGTCATTTTCCATCTCCTTTCAATTATATAGTGTGATTTCCAAGCGCTTAATATTTTATACACCTCCAGAGTTATGGATTACTGTGTTTGGTTTTCGGGATTTCAGAGTATTGCTCCAGCAGCTGTTGAGAGAGCATCTCCACAAATAAACGCGGAGCCGAATTGCTAGAAAGAGGAGCAGAACGCAAGAGCATAGCGTGACGCCAAGGTGGCACCCGGTAGAGGCCAGGCTTTAGTTTAGTAAGCGGTCATTAGCCTTGATGTTCTACAGAAGTGGCACTTACAAAATGCAGTGCACCAGCTCCCCTGGCGCATCCTGAGGCAAAAGCCTATAATCTGTCAGTGAAAACAATAATCTTTGAGCTTGGGAGGCACTCAGGGATGATCCAGAGTTTTTAGTCCTCTCTCTGAAATGAGGTTATATGTCAGGAATTCAGAGGCTTCACTTGTAGTGCTTTCTAGTGCTCAAATGCAGGATAGGTACTGCCAAAACTGTATACCGAAGCAATGTGTCTGCTACAGTTTCTTCCATATAATTTTATTTAGGTTATACTAGCAAACTAATTGATCCATATCATGTTTTGTTTCATAGGTTTCCCATTCTCCCAGTATCAGTTCTAATCTGTATGTTTAAATGTCATCTTCAGAAGTATTTGTTGACATTTTGCTCTTGTATGTAACACCGTGTTAGCACCACATAGGTACTTTCAGAACTTCCGACTAATACATTGCCTTAGGAAAGTCTAACTCTGACACTTAGGCCAAAGCCAAGCACCTTCTGTTTATTTACTCACACTCAGTTGCACTGAAGAATGGGGTTAAGATGAAGGTCATTAATAGTTGAGACTGTTGAAATTATTGTTTTGTACTTCCAATTTTGCAATTTCATATTTTCCTAATATATCTTCCTATACTTCCTCTTCCAGGTACTTCGTACTTAACAGATATAGTATGGTGGTCTGGCACTATTGCAAGTAAGTGTCTTAAAAGATCTGATTTTTATTGACAGTAGTTACACTTAGATGGTGAAACATGACATCAGGAAATCTTGGTTCTCATCTTGAGTCTCATGCTCACTTGTCACAAAATTCCTATTTGTCAGAAATATCCCACCTTTAGTAAACTCTCACTCTGGCTACTGTGGCTGACAGTGTTTGAGAAGGCAAAGAGCTGGGACAAACCTGAGTCAGACATCTTTCCACATTTCTGAACTGTTTGGTACTTGCAGCCGTTGGCAGCCACACACTGCTCTGACTCTGGGTTCCTGCACGGTTTGTGTCTCTGGATTGAGCTGGTCTGCTGAGTATCTAATAAAAGTCAAAGCTGAATAAGAAAATGTCCCTCTGCACAAAAGGGCTCGTTGAGCATATGTTATTCTTTAGATCAGAAAGCACTTTGCCAGCCTTGATTAATTCAAAAATAAAGTCCTTTTGATTTCTAGTTCAACAGATACAGTTTCAGTTTTGCTTTTAATCTACAAGATTAATGTGAAGCCTTGTGTGGTGCCGATATGAGATCAGTGTAATTTTACTCTTATCTTTGGAAACTCTGCTCACACTAAGTTAGCTCTCTAATGCGAATCCTGAGCATAGGGAGCAGCTAGCTTTCTCATCTTGCAGTTCAGCCCTGGTTCTACCCATGAGCTGAAAAATCATGCTCCAGTTTTAGACTCTCATACAGCCTTTTGTGAATTATTTGGAAATGTTCTGATGCTGTTTCTGAGAAGTATATGGGTCCAGTTGTGCCCCTTATTTTGTGGCACCAAGGGAAGTCTGCTTTTATTGTCTCCAAGCAATGCAAAAGGAAAGGAAGCAGATTGATCTGTTGAAGGACAAAGTTCACAGCAAGTATACAAGCCAACAGAGCTTCAGAGGAAAGTCCTCAGCTAATTTAACCTGTGTTTAAGTAGTTCTTTCAGCTTCCTCCTGCTTCCTGCAGCTGCAAATAGGAGCAATAAATCTGTGCGTTAATCACTATTGCTTATCTCTCATGAGCCTCCAATCTTGAATCTGTGCACAGAAGGAGTTAAAATAAAAGAGGTTTTATTACAGGAGTTTATCTTGGTGAATCGGAGAAAATGATTTCATGCTTAAAAGAGCTGACTGAATTGCATGAAGGCAAACAGCTGAAGGGAATAGTATCAGTTGGCTTTTGTCCAGTAGCCAGGTGCAGGTATTTCAAAACAAAGCCTCAGTAAGTTTATAAAAGGAACCAAGGAAAGAATTGCTTAAGGATAGTATAGGTTCAGAATTGCAATAGAGTCATGAACAGCAACAGCAAGAGCCAGGTAAACATCTCTGGGATGCAGAGAAAGGCAGTGCCTGGGCAATTAGCAACATCCCCAGTTATCTGGGTAAAGCTGTAACAGCTGACATGGTTTTCTCTGGCAGGGAATTTGAGAGTTTGGATGACTAACAAAACCCACATAAACTCTACCAACTTATTTTCACAATATTTGTTCAGATGGTGAACAAGCATTTCTCTGTTGGCATGCTGACTCAGCATAACACTGCCTAGCCATTTTGGGGCCTTGGGATCCACTGGATTACTGAAGACTGCAAAGGAGAGGCTACAGATTCTGCTAAGGGACTTTTTCTTGCACTGTAGTCAAAAGAGTGATTGCAGCATGTGCACAGGTATTTCAATGAGCATTAAACTAATTAATTGGCTAATTAATTAGTTTCAGTGCAGGTTTTGATGGCAGTATAGATGTGTCTGGTTTTTGTAGTGGCTACATCTGTGCTAGTGTTTTATTGCAGATGGGGAATAAACTTGCAAAGCGAATCTTATGTTTATCTCCACAGTCTGGGCTTTATTTCATGTTGTAGAGCAGTGTTGAAGCTCCTTAACTTGACTTTAAGATGAAGCTAGGCCGAACATGCCTAATGCACACCAGCTGCAAATAGACTTTTGGTCCAAGGGAGCAGGCAGAAGTTAGTCTGAAAAAAAGCCCCCGACATGTGTAGAGCAGACATCTGCTGTACAGATCTACTCCTGGTCATCTTGCTAATGTAGACATGTTAGTGTGCATCAAGTTTTGTGTTGCAGTAGCTTCAGGGATATTGGTACTCCTTTGTCAAGTTTAAAGTTTGATGTGCCTTCAAGAACTGAAGCCATGTCTTGACTTGCAGCACTGAAGTATCTGGAGAGGAATTTCTATGTCCAGAGAGGACTGCATAGGTTGGCAGCAAAGGTTTCAACATAAATGATAACAATTACTGAGAATCTTTTTTTTCCTGTAATTGGTTTTAATTAGTCTCGGTCTGTCACTTGTGGTGGTAAGAGACCGTTACTGTTAATCCATGGTGATACTGAAAATCTCTGAAGCTCCGTTGCCTTACAATATGTGCAGTTTGACTGAAGCTTTAGAGACCTCAGTGTTGGTGCCATCTGTTAGGGTTCTTCCAACAGAAAGTTAAGGCACTGGACCTCCAAAAAAAAAAAAAAAAAGGAAAAAGAAAAGCAACCTTTTGTCAGAGTCACTTGGAAATATATATAATCTGCAGAAACACAGCGAGCCAGCTATGCCCTGTCCTCTGTGCAAGATCTGGCCCAGTGCCTTTGGATGCCTTGAAGGTAATGCCAGAGTTGCCACATATGTCTGCTGAAAACCAAGCCCGAGGCTGAGAGCTGAGTTAGTCTGTTCCCAAGGGCAGGAAGACCATGACTGACTCTGTGCTCTAGAAATGCTGCTCATTAACTTCTCTGGCTCACTCCTGCGCATAGAGACAGCCTCAGAGAATTGAATTAGTATAATTTTGCCACACTCTGCAGTTTTGTAAGTTTGTTTGTCTCCTTTGTGTTTGCTGTAGGTTACACAGGTCTTCAGCTCTACTGATAATGGGAGCTAATTTGCTAAATTAATTAATGTTTGCACAGTGCTTTGCAGGTGTAGAGAACAGGATGATGGTAACAACATTTGATAGCTGAGGGCAGTGCCAGCCTGAGCATAAAGACAGCTTGGATTCTTGAAATATTCTTAAATGCTGATAATGGCTCTTAATATCAACTGGAAATTTAAGCTGTATGTAGTTTGTGTTGAATCTCAAGGTTCTTGCCAGTTACCACAGACCCTGTAACTATGCATCATGTTGATCTATTACAAACTTGCCAGCACTTGCAAAACCATCCAGCTTTTCTTTTTTAGCTGGGAGCTCGAACGCATGAATTGTTTATCGCAGCTGTGATGTGCAATAGCACGGTACTTCTTGGAATTTGGTTTTATTGGGGGAAAGAAAATAGTAAGATTGTGAGGCTGTTACTGTGACTTGTCAGGGATCTGTGCTTTTTACATTGGTCAAGAATTACTTTTGATGTTATATAGCATTGTGAAAATTTAATATGGTCTGTTGTGTATTGAAGAGCCCCTATGCCTGCGCTTAGTATTTCATTAGTGTATTCTTTTCTTGGGTACTCTCTTATTTCCCATCCAAAAGGTAACACTGGTGTTAGGAACTATAACCAAGTGCATTCGTGTTACATGTGTGCATGTTCCAAAGATGAAATCATGGGTTATATATATTTTTGGTTCTCTTTATTTAAATATTTGAGTGTAATATTGAGATATTTGAGTGTAATCCGTGAGTGTTTCTAATTCGTGGTCTTATTTATATTCAGCTAAGAAAAGCTGCAGATGAGATTATTTACTGTGCTCTCTTGGATCTTCTTGTGTGGCAAATATAAACCCTATATTAAAAAATAATTGAAAACCACAGAAAAAATTCCAGCCATTTTGTTTAAGTTCAGCATTATCAGAGCTAACCAAATCCGTAACATCTGGTTTCCTGTTAGGTCATCTTTCCCAAACAGCATTGGGTAAGTTTTCATTGCTTCTTTTTACAAAGGGATTTAAAACTTGTTTCTGGTTCTCTTGACAGTGGCTCTGGGTCAAATAGGGAATTTCTTGGCATACACAGCAGTCCCAACTGTGCTAGTGACGCCATTGGGAGCTCTTGGCGTTCCATTTGGGTAAGAGTTTGCTTTTCTTGCTCTTATCTGAATGTTGTTACTACTTCATCACTGGAGGTCCACTGAGATGTGAGGCTTATGACTGTTAATGATGTTTTATTATGTCACCTATTCCCATTTTCCTCAGCAGAGTGGTGGAAGTGAGGGGTGGGGGGGAAGCAATGGTGAAGAAGGGTTCCTGAGTATCTTCTGCTTTAACAATCACTATGATCTGGAAGAGATAAATGTGTTTTTCCCCCCCCTCCTCCCTTCACTATATTATTCTGAACTTTTCCAGTAATTCTCTTATTCACAGTTCCCTTACTATGTAGATCTTTCCTTTTGTCTCACATTCTTTTTCTCCCCTGCTATCCACAGCCCACACGTGTTTATTGATGCTGATTTTCATTAAATTGGATTTGGCCTCTTTCCTGAAGCAGGGGAGTCCCTTGCATATGCATGCCCCCAGCTTCTTGAACGTTATGTTCACGGGGGAGGGTGGGGAACAAAAAAGGCAGTGAGTTTGAGGAGTTTAATATGCAACTAAATGTTTTGTGAGTAGCTGAACTACAGCTGTGAAACTACTCCAGTGAAAAAGTACCAGTCTTTAAAAACAAAGAAGCTGTGCGTTGCCTCCAGATTTTTGGTTGCCTCCTGAACTGTGTATGTGACTGCACTGGTCATCTGCTTCAGAGTGTAGATGACCAGTGTAGCAGTAGAGTGTACTGCTTTGTATGGGCTTCATGGTCGTCTCTAGTTTTATACGCTATGAAGTGCACAGATAGTGCTTTACTTACCACCTATTATTTTATCCTATGTCACATAATTTTGTGTGTTTTGGTCAGCCACATGTCTGAGCTGAGCCCTGCGAGCTTTGTAACCAAGTCACTTTTATCTCATGACTACCTAACACCTCTAAAATGGGCCTTCGTGACAACTCACTGAATTGTTAATGGGTAGATAACTGCCTTGGGTGACAGACGTATGGTTTGGGGGTTTGGGTTGTTGTTTGTTTTTTTATGGAGGGGGTCATGTGGTGTTTCTTTTGGGGGGTGTTGGGGATTTGGGGGTTGGTTTTGTTTTCATTTTGGGTCTATTGGGATTTGGGGCAGGGGGCCTGTGTTGTTTTGGGTTTTCTTTTTTCCCCGAGATGAGACATCAGGGATAAGTAAGACTGTAACTCGATGAATCTTTCTTAAAATAATTCAGAAATTAGTTCTGAGGATCTGCCAATATTTGGTCACAGGTGCACCAACATTTGATACTATTACTTTAAGAGGGAAATTCATGTGGCACATACTGTTACAGCATTATTAACAGGATGTAGTCAAACTTTTAATTTTCTTCCTCTTTGTGAAAGGTCTATTTTAGCTTCTTACTTACTGAAAGAAAAACTGAACATTCTTGGCAAGCTGGGATGTTTGCTGAGCTGCGCTGGGTCTGTTGTTCTCATCATCCATTCCCCAAAGTCCGAGAGTGTAACGACTCAGGCTGAGCTTGAAGAGAAGCTTACAAATCCAGGTACTTTATTCTTTTATTAACTCATAATGGTTTTGTAATGCTGATCAGGAGCACGCAGGAGGAAGAGGTTTACCACTTCTTGCAGTTAGGAAAACTGACTTTTGAAGAAACCATGACAGGACAGAGGCAGCCTGTAGAGCTTTTGTGTAGGAACCTATGCCTTGCTGTACTTGAAACTCCTCAGATTTATTGATACATGTGTGCAGAAAGGAAAACATGGGTACTTTGGAAAACATAATCCTACACAGCAAGCTCAGAAAAACACCCATTTCAACTTGTAATTTTCTGAAATGATGAAAAAGTGTATCTTGCTATTTAGAGATGAAAGGTATAATTCTAGGATCTCGAGTTGCTTTATACAAGATAAAAAATGCTGATAGTCTTTTGTTCTTTAATTCTGCATGGGTTTGCTGGTTTGCTTTTTTCTTTTGTTTGTTTTTGTTAAAAGTTTATACTAGATGCCAGTTATGTTCCGAGCAGATTTCTTTGCACAATGAAGGTGTGTAGAAATAGGCTGTTGAGAAATATGCTGAAATGCCTGTTCTTTCTCACAGAGAATGTGAAGCCCCAGTAGCTGCTGGAGCACACATACTGGTGCTAATATGTGCCAGGCCCACTTTCATTTTTCTTGCATAAGAGCTAAACTGCCAGCTATTATTTCCTTTAATTGCTTTAGGTGAGAGAAACTAAAGCCTAATAACATCAGGTATCCAAAAAATTTGCAAACAAAACAAACACCCTAGTCTAAATTTTCCATTTCAGTCTGACCAAAATGAATTGCAAATACATCTCTTTAAAACTGTAAAGCATGAAATGTTTCTCACCACTTTAATCTGTGAACTGGTGCTATCATGTAAATGATAGAGCATTCTGGCTCTTCCAACTGTACCTACACAACTCGTTCACCTTAATGGGCTCTAACTTTATGTTTAAGCTCTTTGCTGCATCCACACGCCATGCTTTATTGAACTGATTATGAATGAGGTGTTATCACTGCTGTCTGTCATAGAGGGCTTTAAGGAGAATAGTCTGGGTGGAAGAGAGAATAAAATAAATAAGCCATCTTAAATCCAGTTGAAATGTGCAACAGTATGTAATTTACTACATATTTATTTGTTTTACACAAAGAACATGAGAACATCATGGGTTGCAGACACCCACAACGTCTGTAAAAGCTCAGTGATTTATTTGGATCTATATTCAATAGTCTGCGTCTGATTTGCCTGCTAAAACCTTCAAAAGATCAAGAGTTTGCACCTTGCTATTACGTTATTTTCTTTTTGTTTTCCAGTTTTCGTGGGTTATCTCTGCGTAGTGCTGCTAATGCTTCTCCTGCTTATCTTCTGGATAGCTCCAGCTCATGGACCTACTAATATCATGGTTTACATCAGTATTTGCTCTCTGTTGGGCAGTTTTACTGTTCCCAGCACAAAAGGCATTGGGCTGGCTGCTCAAGATATCTTTCACAATAACCCCTCAAGTCAAAGGGCCCTATACCTCTGTCTGGTACTTCTGGCAGTATTAGGATGTAGCATTATCATTCAGTTCAGATACATCAATAAGGCACTGGAATGTTTTGACTCCTCTGTGTTTGGTGCCATCTACTATGTTGTGTTTACCAGCCTAGTCCTGCTGGCTTCAGCCATCCTTTTCAGGGAATGGAGTAATGTAGGAGTGGTAGATTTCCTGGGAATGGCTTGTGGATTCACCACAGTATCTATTGGAATTGTTCTTATACAAGTCTTCAAGGAATTCAACTTCAATATCGGGGATTTAAATAAACCTAACATGAAGACAGATTAAAACATTTTTTGAGGGGAAACTGGATGGCTCAGGGAAGGATGCAGAGCCTTTCATTTCTAGGTCACTGATTCAAGTATGATTCAGGTTGGTAGCTATCCTCTGACAAATTTGGTGGTCTATGTGAAATGAATTGGAGGCCTCCATCCAGTTTCAAAGGAACAGTTGTCCACGTACCCTAGTCAACACAATAAATGACCTTAATTGGAACCACTGATTGAGTCAGCATAGAGACTGATGTATTTCCTTACTGTAAAAGGTAATCCATCAGAAAAGATCAGGGGATATTCTGACAGACCTGTGTGTGAAAGCTTGTGTTGTAGCTTCTGAGGTACTGTTTCTGTGGGCAGAGAACATCAGTTTCTAATGCACTCAATCTGACACCTTTCATAAGTGATGTATACCTTAAAATATGGGGGGGAAAGGGAAGAAGGGAGTACAACAGCTTGTTAATCTCAATATAGCAATGTGTTCACTGTCAAGGCTGTGAATTCTGAGACAAATGTTGGTTGAACCATGGACTGCAGATTTGTCCTTTTTAGTGACTGTCTCGACAACTTGGTCTGCCAGGCAGTGAAAACACTTGGGAGTTTTAAATTGAATTCTTATACAGAGCAGTGGACCCTTAAAAATCTTTCACTAATTCCTTATCAGCTGATGGTAGTGTCCAGATATGCATTTTTCTTTGTAACTTACGTGCATTAAGACATACCACATTCATCTGAGAGTTTTTAATTCGGAGCCAACAGAAAGACTGTGAAGGATGTGGAAAATATGCACAGACTCATTGCCTATATGGTGGCTTATTTGTAAACAGATCAGAACTATTTCAGTGCCTTTGTCATCCAAAAATACTGCATAAATGTGAATGTATTTGTTTCAGATGGCCTATGCTACTTTAATAATTCAGTTTTACTGCCTATAATATTGGACTATATTCAAATTCTGAACACATAAAGCACCCAGAAGAAGCCACACATTTTCAGAAGAATTTACCAACCTGAATTAAAACCCTCAGATGCCTTGACAGCTTCTGAAAAACCCATAGTCCTAATGGGAAGAGGTAATCTACAGGCAGACTGTTTAAAGCAATCTAGCATACCTTTATTTTAGTTACGTGACTAAATACAGGGAGCCGTTTTGTGAAGCAACTAATAAGCAGGGACCACAAAAAAAGAAATTTGAGAGAAGAGCATGAGATTTCTCATAGCTCAAAAAAGATGCTCTGAACCTTTTTTTAATGTGGGAAAAGGGTGTCCAAGTCTGAAAAGGCATAGGCATTCCGAGGGCTGAGTTTCAGATAACCAACAGGGAAATCCAGTAATCAGATCCAGTAATTCAGACCTGTGCGAACAGTTCAGCCATAATATTTTGACAAGTAGCACAGAGAGCTTAAGCTATCATCAGGATTCTGAACTGTTCAGATTAAACCATTTAGAGAGTACTGATATGCCAAAGAAAAAAAAAGAGTAAGTTGATTTTCATGTTCTACTTAGGTTTGGTAGTTAAAACATCACAAGTCAAAAACTTGGAAAGGAAGCTTGAAAAGTAATGAATGTTGTTTTCCACTCAACTACAAAAACGGAAGGGAACAGTGGAACCCAGCATCTCTAGTTCAGAATGTCTCTTCAAACAAACAAACAAAAAAACCCCAGCGTGTTTACGAGACAGTAATTCAAAAAGAAATGATGAACGTAGCTTTGCAGATGGCTGACAGGAATGTGGATGTTGATTAATGGGGAGTAATACTGCTCGCTCTCAGGCTGGTTTTTGTTGACCTGAATTAATGTCAAAACTCAGCCTCTATTTTAGTTTAAAAGGAATGGTATAAGCCTTTCTAATGGCAGCAATAATAATCAACAGTGACTCCTAAATATTTAGTATTCCGAAGGGACTCCTCTGAGGGAATAGGAGCCCCACTGTGTTATTTGGAAGCTTGTTTTATAAACTCCTAATTGCAGGGGAATGACTGAGTTAGCAGAAACATGTGTTACAGGTCAGCATGGAAACTGGGCATCTTGGTGAAATAAAGTAGCGCTAGCAGAGAACGGGCCATCTTCATGGATTTTCAAATCTTGTGTATGGTTTCTAGAAAGTTTGAGAACTGTAGATGAGAGGAACTGGGACTATGAAAGCTGCTTAAAACTAACCTCTGTCAGCTATTGGTTGGAAGATGGTATCTTGGTTCTCAGCAGACAGTTAGGTTTTGTCATATTAATTCCCTTTTTCTTTCCTGATTGAAACTGGAGTTGTATATAGGTTGTGAGACCTGTAATGACCTACTCTTAAAAACAACATTAGCCATTTTCTGAAACAATCACGTTGTCTTTTCAAAATTCAAATTCAGAGTTTATGAGTTGCATGTTGGTTTTGTATTAGCCTTTAATCGCGGAAGGCTTCTGTGAAAATCTTTAGGTCAGAATGGAAATGATTGTGGTTGCATCTTAATCCTCCTTTGGCCATATTTGTTTGTCCTTTTTTGCTTTAAAATTCATTCTTATTTATTTAGAAAGTGCCTATCCTAGTATGTTAGGTGCATATGCAAATTATTAGTAATATTGGATCCAAAATAACTTGACTGCCCTGTTTAAACCTCACCATTTTCTGCACCACACACAAGCTTACTTGATAAGCACTCACTATGCAGAGTAAGAATAAAGTAGTAGCCGTGTTCTGTGGTCCTCTGACCATCCTTACAGCTGGTAAATGTCTGCGTAAGTTTCTTCTCCTCAGCTGCTCCTCATCTATGATGAGCTTTCTAGAAATGTTTAGTTAACTTTGTTTAAAACAGAGATGTCAAAAGCCAGCACATAAGGTGAAAGAAATTATTGTGGCCTTGCGCATCGTTTATATCTGTAGTCTTTTACATCATGAATGCTAAATAACTGAAACCTTTATTTTTGCTACCTTGTTCAGTGTGTAGCAGTGTTCTGCTGTACTGGGTCTGGTTCAGTTTTAAGTTAGAAATGTATTACCATTTTCCGTTGTCACTGTTGGTATGATTCTTCCCTCCTCCATTCATGCCCTCCTCATTCTACGTGTCCTGCCTTTTTTAGTCCTATTGATCTTCTGATTTAGAAAGAGGCACTGTTGAAGCTGAATTTTAGCTGTTCCCTCTTTTTTTCCCCCAACCTTTGACAAGTAAGTACTTTGCATGTAACAGATATGAGTTCATCATCTCAGGGAGCAAATGTGCATAGTTGTCTCCTGAGCTTTGGTGTCCCTCATGGGTTTGCCCTTTTCACGTTCTCTTTGCATTACATCTGTCGATAGCTACGAGCCAGATACTTCAGTTTTGATTCCAAAATAGAAGTGAGAGAGGCTATGCATACAAAAAGTAGACTCATCACAGTGGTGGGATGCATCTGAATGAAGGTCAAATCCATATGAAAGGCATTCCACTCCGTATGTCTGGCTTCTGTTATACCAGTCAAACATATTTACTTGGTACTCACTTGAAGATAGGTCTTTGATCATTATCCCTTCAGTGTATGGAGGATTTACATGTGTCAGTCACAATCTTTATTAGGTGTCAAACCCAAAAATCCCTCAAATGTTCAGTAGGAGAATAGAAACCTTTTTGATACAACCAAAAAAAAAAAAAAAAAAAGATTTGTTACACCTTAAATACTTATGTAAAGAAGAAGAATCTCTAAACAAGTTATCTATCTGTTGTACTGATTTTCCATGACTCTTTGTGTGTAAATAGAGCCTATTTATTAGTGAGCTGCAACTAATATTAATAAGAACCTGTCATATCGCAGTTTGACAAGTGAGGCTTCCTATTAATAATATTGGTTTATATTGAACATATGTATTTTTCTGAAGTAAGTAGCACTGAAAATTGAAAACACTGGAATTAATTTGTTGGAACACTAGAAACTGAGGTTTAGGTTTCCTTTTCATTTAAAAAACAGAGGGCTTGTATTTAAGAAAGATTTGCAGTTAATGAATATGGGGGGCTTAAATGGGTAGTTGTTTGCACATTGTACCCCTCTCACCTTCTTGTTTCATAAATATAAAACATCGAGGATCCTATAGATCTTCCTCAGTTGTCTTGAGATGGTGTAACTGCTGAAGTTTTACTGTTAAATCAAATGTTTATCTATTACCTGTTATCTTTTCTTTAGAGAGATTAGTCTTTGTAAGAACTCCTTGGTGCTACTAAATATGGACTTAGGTGATGCAGAATTTTAGTGTGCACCATGTTAGGCACCAATTACGTCAACAGTTACTATTACTAGTGCCCAAGTATTTCGGACAACAGTGTTGAAATGTTGCAGATTAAGAAATCCTTTCTGAAACCTGCAAATAAGTTTGGGGGTTTTATCTTTTTGTTGTTGTGTTGGGTGTCGTTTCCCCCCCCTCCTTCCCCCCACCAGTTGCTCTACAGAGTGGAAAATATTACACAAAAGGGGTATTTTCCTTTTCAACTGTGGAACTTTCTCTCTCTCTCCCTCCCTCCTGCCCCCCCCCCCTTTTTTTTTTACTCTGGAATGTAAAAATAGTTCTAATGGGATTTTTTTTTTCCCCCTGGAATGTAAAAACTAGTTCTAATGGGATATGGGGAAAAGGTGGTTGGCAACAAACATACGGTGTTAGGTTTGATTGCTTCAATGCTATTGCAATATAGTTACTACAGATTACATAAAAACAGTTTATTTTATTAGCTTCCAAATAATGTATATATAGATTTGTTAATGGCTTACAAGTCAAGCTTACTCTCTTTGCTTTTTAAAAACTAGTTATAGGCATGTTGTATTTGCCTTGTGTAATATAAAAGGCTATTTATTAAGTTTTCTGATAACTAATCTATTTATTAACCTGTATTGTTTTAAAATAAATGATTTATTTCTAGCTCAATGCTTGTTTCTGACTCCTCTTTTATCACATGGGGCGGAAAAAGTCGGTTTCCCACACACCTAGCTGCTATACAGCCTAACCCCAAATCACAAGCCTGAAATATTTCTGTTGCCCTTTCATAAAATTTCAGCCTTGTTTTT